TTCACTTCAGTCCTGACTTGCACAGATTTTCACTTCAGTCCTGACATGAACTGATTTTCACTTCGTTCTTGACATGCCCAGATTTTTCACTTCAGTCTTGACATGCACTGATTTTCACTCCGGTCTTGACATGCATAGAGTTTCACTTCAGTCTTGACATGCATAGATTTTCACTTCAGTCCTGACTTGCACAGATTTTCACTTTAGTCTTGAAATGCACAGATTTTCACTTTAGTTTTGACATGCCCAGATTTTCACTTCAGTCCTGACATGCGCTGATTTTCACTCCAGTCTTGACATGCATAGATTTTCACTTCAGTCCTGACATGCACTGATTTTCACTTCAGTCTTGACATGCACAGATTTTCACTTCAGTCCTGATGTGAACTGATTTTCACTTCGGTCTTGGCATGCACAGATTTTCACTTCAGTTCTGACATGCACTGATATTCACTTCAGTCCTGACATGCCCAGATTTTCACTTCAGTCCTGACATGCATAGATTTTCACTTCAGTCTTGACATGCATAGATCTTCACTTCAGTCCTGACATGCACTGATTTTCCCATATTTTCATTTCAGTCTTGACATGCACTGATTTTCACTCCAGTCTTGACATGCATAGATTTTCACTTCAGTCTTGACATGCACTGATTTTCCCAGATTTTCACTTCTGATCCACTTCTAATTTCAACAAACTTCAGTCCTGATATGAACTGATTTTCAATTCGGTCTTAACATGCATATATTTTCATTTCAGTCTTGACATTCCCAGATTTCTTCACTTCAGTCTTGACATGCAGATTTTTGTGGCATAACCTCAAGAGAAAACGCTATCTGAAAGCACAAAGCATGGATGATAGGACAGCATAATGGACGTCAGAGAAATGCTGTGACTTGCTCGCTATGACTGTACAGCAACAACTCCTTCCTCTTATGGCAGACGAGTCACTTGAAGTCTCGTGCTGGTGAGTCACAGGCCTGAAACAATTACATGAACAGCTTTAAAAGACAGATTCTGATTTGCATGCGAATCTGTATGTACGGTTTCAAACTTGATCCACTTCTAATTTCAACAAAATGTAAAACTTCTATGTGGCTTGCAATGACACAAAAAATTTTTGGTTGCATAACATTCCTGCATGATAATACTTGGCACTTCCCCCCCCCACACACACACACACACAAACATGTTCGCTGGTACTCTCAGGTCCAGTTTTTGCCTCAAAATACAGTGCAATGGTAAATGTATGACTTCTGACAAGCTTGTCAATACAGCTCAAGTATTTGCTGGTATACAGACTGGCCTAAAGAAAAGGTACTAATAATACCCATATACTAAGTAAATTTTTTCAAGGATATCTCCATATTAGAACACTGTAAAAAAATATATAAAGAAGCTCCTTAAAAATGGGAAATTAATTTCCATTCCCTTACAAATGCGGGCCATGCAATACTGCACTACTTATATATAAAAAATTTCATGGAAGAACTTATGCTTATTTTCCATTTCCAAACTCCTGTCCTGTAAATAGCGTGACTGGAAAATGTAAAAATGGTTGTCACCTACCACAATTAATTATTGGGGGAGAAAAATGTAAAGACAGTCAAAATATAGCTGATGCTTTTAATTTATATTTTAATACTACAATGCATAAACAGCCGAGTAACGATATCACCTCAGAGCCATCACTAAATAAAGATAAGTTTTTTCATTATTTATACTCATTATCTATAGGATCCACAAGTAACATTACATATAAACCTGTAACTGGTAAAGAACTAAAAGATATTATCAAATCTCTTAAAAATAAAAATTCTTGTGGCTATGACGAAGTCTCAGTGAAGATAATGAAATCGAGCATGCCTTTCATAATATCGCCTCTTGTTTATATATGTAATAGGTCTTTGTCTACAGGCATATTCCCACAACGGCAAATACAAATACATCCGATATATAAAAAAAGGCGAAAAGTCTGAAATATCAAATTATAGACCAATTTCCGTACTTACATCTTTTTCCAAAATTTTTGAAAAAGCTATCTCCAATAGATTATACGCACGTGTCCTTTTAAATAGTATTTTACACGATGAACAGTATGGATTTAGAAAAAATTTGTCTACTGAGACTGTCACTTTTTAATTTAATTAATAATATATTACAGGCATTGAATGATAGAAAACTGGTTGGTGGTATTTTTTGTGATCTGACCAAAGCATTTGATAGTGTGAATCATGAGGTTTTGTTGACCAAGTTGGATTTCTATGGTATACGAGGAATATTCTTTAAATTGATTACCTCATAACTGAATAATAGATACCAAAGAGTAGTAATAAAGGATAAAAAATCTGGACAATGTTTCTCTGATTGGAAACGGATTAAGTTGGGTGTTCCACAGGGATCAATCCTTCGACCGTTATTTTTTTTATTGTATATAAATGATTTACCAACTATAATAAGTGACACCAAAACCTACTTTATTTGCTGATGATATTAACTTAATATTAACTGCTCTTGATTATAGGCAGCTTAAAGAAAATTTTAATATTGTCTTTGGGAAGATAATGCATTGGTTTCAAGCTAATTTTTTGACCTTGAATGTTAATAAAACACATTGTATGTATTTTAAAACAAAAATGAGTCAAACTGATAACTCCCCAATAAGGTATATAAATACTCAAATAAATAGTACCCATTGCACTGACTTTCTAGGAGTGACACTGGATTTGATGTTATCTTGGCAAGGACATAAAACAAAACGAATAAGAGATTAGACTCTGCTTGTTTTGTTATTAGATCTGTTAAATCACTTCTAACAATTGATGATTTAAAAACTGTATATTATGCGTATGTTCATTCTATTATGACATACAGAATTGCCTTGTGGGGAAATGCTGTAAATAGTAAAAATATAGTTAAAGTTTATTTTGAATGAAATTCATATTGGTGTAACTGTGATAACGTACTTATGGGCATATTTTGTATCTGTACATCATTGTTGTGGCTTGAAAATTGTTCATTTGTTGTATGTATGTATGTTGACAAAGTTGTGCGTTACAGCTGCTTTTATCATAATATTTTATCTATTTGTTATATTTTACTTTTCATTTTATATCTTATTTTAGTATATATATAAATGGACTGCTTCTATATCTGTGGTGACTGTCTTGCCTGTACGGATTGCTTGAGGTAATAATAAATCAAATCAAAACCAAAATTCCCAGTCAATAATTATATAATTCTGTCCTCTACATTTCAGCTACTACAGGCAAAACACCATGATATCCATAGCCACATTTGTAATTTTCACTGTTTCACAAACTCTGACATCAGTACAGCTTTTATAAAATGCAATAATCTAGACTAGATTATTAGTGGGGACCAAATACTGTTTCTAGAAGAAACAGAAACAAAGTTGAACAAGAATATTCAAGCACAATAACAAACGTCAAGGACAATCAGCTCATAAAATGAAAATGCTGATCTTTCCCAGAAACTGAGTTATATGTATCAGTTCCATCATTACAAATACAATGTTAACAGTCTGCTCAACAATTAATAAAATATGGCTACAAAAAACCACTCAAAAGACTATACAAGGCATGGAGAATTGATGGGAGTCAACACGTACGTTCATACTGCAAAATTATTTGCAAAGAAAGTAACTGAAACAGTGAAGCTTCATTACTTACACTTCACTATGACCAAGCTCATACTTACCAATACAGAAAAGTGTTTAACACAAAATTTGCATCTACTTTTAAACTCTCCTTAATGAAAAATTTCATGAGCCAAATACAAACTAATCTATACTGTGAAGTGCTGTTTCATAAGTGCCTGTAATAATATTAATCTTTTCTTCTAACAAATAACGAATCATATAAACCTGTGTAACAATTCTAAGAAGTCCTTCACTCTCTCTCCAATATCATACCATAATGGCATACTTCAAATTCTCAATTTCTAACACGAGTATTAGGAGTAATCACTATTTTGCAAATAAGATAACTTTGTCATCACATGACATGTCTGTTTCATTCCACAGCATACTAACCGTGAGTTTGTTAATTCTTTCAATCACAGTGACGGGTTTACATTTACAACCACCTCAGAGCTGAAGCACAGACATGTTCAACCATAACCCAACTGCAGAATTGCAGCTGCACCTCTAATAAGAGTTTAACCCACCTCTTTCAGTGACCTCCAGATGCTGGGCAGCAGTGATGTCAATTAGCCACCCATTCTGTGAAGGAGGAGGTTGAAGAAAGGCGGGTTTACCATCCTTGAGGAAGATCCAACTCTTTATCCCCATACTTGCCCTTTTCCAGTGCTCTATATGGGGACTGTTATCGTTGAGCGGGCAACACAGTGTTTTCCAAGGGTTAACACATGTTCCACTATTGAAACTAGCAAAGAGTGGTCAACCTCTTCAACAAACGCAGCTGTCGCAAGGTTTTCGCTGCAGCACCCTCGTGAAAGAACATAAAAAAGGAAGTTAGTGAGCTTCCTTACACAGTGGACTATCATAGTTCTTCTGACTGGAAAATCACACACTTTGCTAAGGAGTGCCATAAAAAAAGAATTTGTTAATTTGATTACTTTATTCCTCATGGCAAAGACTTTGCCACCTCTTTCTCTCATAAATCATATTACTGACAGTGTGTTGACTTTCATAACACTCTGTGCACTGGGGTTCAGGTGTGTGTCTGTCAGCTTGATCAACTGACGACACGGTCTGGGTTTGTCGAGTTCATTCAGTTTCAATATCTGGTCCCACTTAGCAATAACAGGAAGTTGGTTGCCCAGATTTCAACTGCACATCATACTTCCAGAATAGGCGAGTGCACTTCAGGAGGTGGGGAGGATCATATACTGTTGCAATTTCTTGATTATGAAATCTGAAGAGTGGTTTCGCTTTGGAAGCACCCAACAGTTTCAAGGCCTTGAGATTGTTGGCCCCCATGTCACACACAGTGGCAACAACCTTCAGTCCACCATTCTGACAGGTGTCAAGAACCTCCTTCAAGTACTGCACAGTCATCTCTGCCTTAGTGCTTCCATGAGTAAAGTAGTAAGCTACTGGTTGCTTCCAGTTTCCATGTAGGCCACGGATCATGAAAACTAGAGCATGATTTGCAATACTGCATGTCCTGCCCTGGCTTCCACAAGCCTCAAAACCCTCAATGTAGTCAAATATATGGTTTAAATGCAGTTCATCAAACATAAGAGAACATTAGCGATTTCCATCAGACATTTCTGCAGGGACAGTTGGAGTGCATGAAGCACATGAGCACTAATGTCTGTCCTAAATGGGACAGTATTCAGGACAGACTACAAGGATTGTGTGGATGGGAGGGGGAGCAGTAAAAGAAGGATATAGGATTTAGGGCTACGTTTAAGGGGAGACAGAGCCAACACTTTTTCATCAAAATTCCACCTCCTGCCCTTAGGCTTCCGTCTAATGTTCCGAAACATTGCTGCCAAAAATCTGGCAGCCCCTAAACTGAAAGAAGATGAAAGACTCTCCATCAGTGGATCACTGTCCACATCACAGAGCTTTCTCAACTTCTTTCCCATATATTTCTTTTTGAGTTTACAGAGCACTCTCTCTTGAAGCCGCCCGCCGACTTACAGCTGCCAAGACTGTCACTCGAGCTTAACTTCTTAATCACAGGATACGGGTGCTTTGGAGATGGGAGTGGAACACACTTCGGGGTAAATAAATCCAGGATCTCCAGAACGTTGTGGATTGCAGTTTTAATTTAAAATTTCATTAATGATGAATATTTACATTATTCTCCTAGCTAGCCGCTCCATCCGCCGACTAGCTACCACTACTCTTAAACACTTCTCTCTTCTCTATCTACATTCCAACTACTGTCCTTCTCCGCTCCCTACAGCTGACCACCCCTCTTTACAAGTCCCCCAGTTGGCATCAGAAAAACAAGAAAAATAACAAGAGAAATCCAAGGGTCGAGCCCGATATCTGCCCAACATTCGTATTTTTCGAGATGCCCATAAACCTCTGTAGGTCTTCAAGGAATCCAAGACCCCTCCTGGCCGGTCTCGCACACGGTCAGTTCATGGGTTTATGATATACTGGGGGTAAACAGGCGGCGTTAGGGACAATAGCGGCACCCTTAGCCTAAGGAGGACAATAGCAGAATTACAACTTGACGGTCCCGGGATGGTATCTCGCCGATGGAGCGTCTCTCATGGTATTAAACTATGCATAAGTAGTTCATACCCTTAATTATATAATTTTGACGAGGGACGTACGGTTACACTCTTTATTCCGAATATATTCATATAATTTCCTTTCTCTCGATGACAACTCTAAACGTGAAGCCAGATTAAGTTTCTTTTAGCAGAGAATGCTTTACTCTAGGTTTTGAGGAAAAACTTTGACAATTGATATGCCTGAGTTCTCCATCAGAAGCATTTGTATTTACAGGGCTAAGGGGAAGAGATATTTCTTTCGCTGCAAACGTGTTGGCTGTTGTTGGTGGTTGGACTGCAGACATCTGAGAGGAAGCAGAAGGACAGTCTGCATGTGTAGGAATAGGTGTTACTGTGGAGTGCACCACTGTCTAAAGTAAAGCTATCCCTGTACCAGGCTGTGAAGGCCCATAGGGTTGAGACATTGAGGGTCCCACACTTTCTAGACAATAGGCTCAAAGATGGCAGCAAGGTTGTGAGCCTTACGCACCGGCCGCGCTTTACTCCCCAGGAAAATTATTTTAATTAATTCCTGGTACTCATTTCTGTTAGAGGCTGAGTAAACCCCAGGGCCTAGTGCGGCTGGAAGGATTAGGTCAACTGAAAAAAATCCAATGACTTCATCGGGACTTGAACCCGCGACCTTCCTTCTTGCTGTAAGGAGTGGGAATTATCACTGAAGGCAAAGGAGCCAAGGCAGGTGTATCTCATGAAGGGACAGGAGATTGTGAGTGTGACTGTGAAGCAGAATCTGAGTCACAAGGAACTGCCACTCTGTTCAGGTGTACCCTTTCAGCTGTAGTGAAATCACTGTCCAGGAAATGCATGCTGCACAAATATTTATTGTGTAGCCTTCTAGCAGAATCAATAGTGCAGGATATTCCAACTTTTCCTGCCCATACCGCAGCCCTGTAAAAGAAGAACAAATAATCTCAAAACCTAGAAATAATTCTTCAGTAAACATTACAAACTTGTACACATTCTAAATTTTGGGGTTATGCTGAATAAATTGAACACAAACATACGCTAAACTTAATTTATTCATTGGATTAAGCAACACATAATAAAGTAATTACACAATGAATTAAAACAGTCATACCGTGCTGGATCCTTCGGAAAGTTGAAGAATTTCATTCCTTGCCTGCTGGATGACAAGCAGCCAGCAGCAGCTCGTTTTCGTTTTTGTTTCTACTGCAAGAAGCAATACAAAAATTATAACACCATCACGGTACTCTTAGAACTCCTTCACATTCTACAGACTCTTAGGGCTAACCCGAAAGTTGCAGACCATATCATAAAACAAATATCGTTTAGATGGCAGTTCATCATAACCTCAAAAATTTTGAACTTGAAAGAATTCTATATATTTCTAATTTAATTTGTGGTAGTAAGCATAACATTCATATACACAAGTATTATGTTTAACACGGAGATCTAACTTCGTTCGCAAATGTCTACTTCCGTTTTACAACCACATCAAATGAAAATTCGTACTTACCCGTTTCAATATGACGACACTAAATAACCGCTCATAATTGCGGGAATTCAAATTGGTTTGTTTAGGCTCTCCGATTGGCCGAGATCGTCGAGATCTGTGTGTAGTTTCTGCCTTCGTTTATAAGGGCAGTAATTACCTTTCTCCTATCCCAGTTTCAACCCCCTGATTCTAACCTTATTGTTGATGACGATGATGACGACCAGTGAAATTATCAGTCAGTGCAAAGGGAAATGAATTCTCATGCCAGCTTCCACGTCTCATTTCACCGTCATCATGTATTTCAGAGATACACGAATGAATTCTTAACGCAACTTTGTGTTGGCAATACGTGGTTGCGATTTCACAATCGAATTCCTAGACATTTATATGTTGGTAATTCGTCGTTGCTATTCAAGAATCGATATTGTATATCACGTAATTGTAAAGTCACGATAAAAAATATTATACCTTAGATTGTGTCATGGTTTATGAGGATCCAACATTTTACATTCAGGGAGGAGATGTGGGATTTGCTTACAGACAGAAAAACATTTTTGACAGATTGACAGTGGAAGAGAAGAACAGGAATGAACGACAAGAAGAATCAGAAGACCGTAGTCAGGATAACAACACTCAGCCTACAAGGAACACCGTACCATCCCGTAAAAGATGCAGGTCTGAGATGAAGCAGTATAGAGGCAAAGAAAGCATTTTCAAAAGGCCAGATGCACCTCCTCCTCGTTTTAACAACAAAAATATTCCAGACTATCGCAGAAATCCACATAAATGGATTAAGTATAGCTTAGGGGATGTATCTCAGGAGGATATGTCTGATCGAAGTAACACAGCAGCAGCTTTATCATTTCTGAAAGAAATGCAGGAACGTAAGAGGCACGAAGAAATGGAAGTCGATGACAGTGAACCAAATCAGACCCCTTTCAAGCAACCAGTGAACAATGGCAGAACCGTTTTTCAGCGTGGCACACGTCTTTGTATTTTCAGTGGCATGGCAAGTGGAGAAAATGCAACTGATGATGATGCAAAAGCATGTTTCCGAAGTTCGAAACTAATAATGCCAGAGTATATTGTTGGAGTGACCAAGAAGAAGGACAAGAAAAAGCATGAGAAACTTAATCACCTTCCTCGGAATGAAAGTATTGCATCAACAATAAAACTGCAACATTTGACAGAAGAGGATAATGGTGAATAGGTCACAGGTGGGTATGAAATGTTCATTGTATGAGGAAGTTATTTGAGATCCTGCTGCAAATTGTTCAGCCAGTCCAGCAGAAGAGACAGGCCTTTTGTGTCAACACTTTCAGCTGATGTTTGGACCTGCAGCACAATTGACAATCCCGTAGATGTACATATGACAAAACAAGTCCAGCTGGATGGTGGAAGTGGTCCCTGTTATACACACATTTCTTGCACTTCCATAAAATGTTCACTTTTATGTATTAAGTTCCTTTTCAGAATTCAGTAAAACGGAACCCGAAACTTAAAACCTCTGTCTCTTGCTCAAGTTATCTAAGGGCTTTTCAAGGGGAGTGTTCAAGATCAGCAATATTTTCACCTAGTTTCTTTGCAGTGTGCACTTGATGTTTTTATTTGGTTCCAATTTTTAATAGCAACCCTGTCTGACTAAATTTATTTATAGTTGTAACAACAATATTTCTACATTTGTAATGGGAACATCCTGGCACTTATGCTTGAAAACTGTCCCATTTTTCACATGTCATACTGTACCTGGACGTGGTTTCAGTGTTTAATTTACACTGGCATTCTGACACATTTAACATGACTGAATACTTACCACAGTATCAGGGGTTTGGGTTACAGTTGACATAACACTAGCTCACTTCACAGTATTTGTTGAAAGGTTTATTTGGCCGACATTGAAGAGGAATTGTAATGTATGTAGTCTGATGGCCTGCGCTACTATACTACAGTTCCAATCATACGTCATGTGAGTAGCATGTGTCCCTTCTGCCGGGCTGGGCAAGAGATTTATTGCAAGCAGTGCTCTGGTACCTAACAAAGTGAAAACTGTAATTTATGGAAATGACTGTTGTGATGGGAAAAATATTTTGTAAATTTGTGACAGTACTGACAATGCCTGGAGCCACACAGTAGTGTAGTTGACTGAAGCACTGTGCTACAAGCTGGAAAGTTTGCAGGTTCAAGTCCTGATGAGGTAGATTCTTTCAGTTGACCTAATCCAGCCACATTGTGACCCTGGCGTCGACTCAGCCTCTAACAGAAATGAGTACCAGGAATCTACCTGTGGGGTAAATGACAGTAAGGGCATAAGGCTGACAACCTCACTGCCATCTGTGAGCTGATTGTATAGAAAATGTTGGAGCCTAGACGTCTTACAAGTCTATGGGCCTTTACTGCCTGTTACAGGGATAGGTTTACTTTTTTTTTTTTTTTTAATAACAGTGCCTTTATGTAATGTAATGTATGTAAGGGGTGTACCATGAAAACCGGCCCCCGCACTGCAACCTTCAGTGATCTGTTGTGCTTCCCCTTGGATTAGCCCTTTATTAATCCTACACTTTTAATAAAGTGTAGGACCCTGCTTATGCCTTTATGTAAGTTTGGATGCCTATAGCCATGAGGTCTCTGAGTACTGAGGTTTCCCCTACCAATTGCTCCATATTCATTAATTTTACCGTCAATGCTGTATAGTATCAGTACTGAGATCCTCGGTGAGTAACAGACTTATACAAACTTACATCCAGTGAGTGAAAGATGATTTGGCCATTTGCCTTTAGCTGTAACATTCACAGACTGGACATCTTTGAGGTCATAACTTGGTTTTTTTTAATTCGCTTAGTGGGCGGTGGAGTCCAACTGGGTCCCCTCGGCACAGCAGCCAGTGATTGGCCTATTGTACCTGCCCTGGGTGATTATGATGATGGAGAATTTGGTGAAATGAAGATTGGCAGGGGAAACCGAAGTACTTGGAGAAAACCCGCCTCAGCGCCACTTTGTCCACCACAAGTCCCACTTGACCAGACCTGGGATCAAACCCGGGCCGCCGCGGTGGGAAGCCAGCGACTAACCACTCGAGCTATGGCACGGCCTGAAGTCATAACTTGAAAGAGAGGCATGCAATATGAAATGTTTCATGCAAGCCATTAAATGGCAACTGGCAAATTCACTGCAACTGTTGCAAATATGTATGTAGAGGGATATTTACAAGTGTGGATGTAGGTTTGAGAAAAGCTTTATCAGAACAGAAGTATTTACAAAACTGTTAAAACACTGGCATACTTCAGAATATTTGTTAACACCGTGCAGAGTGATTCAGTTTGTAAATATTTATCACCTTTACATGTTTCTGCCAGCTGACCATCCTCAGAAGGCATGTAAATAACTTCGAATTATGTATTACAAACTTTGTAATAGTAGTTCCTGAACATGTTGATCTTGTGCCTTCTGAAGATGGTCACAGCTGACCGAAACATGTAAAGGCAAATAAATATCTAAAATTGAATCACACTGGGCCGTGCTAACAATTATTCTATAATTTGCTTTGCTAGTGTGACAGACCAGAATGAATAGAGTTAAGTTTACTGGCATAATTGTTTGAAAGTCATTATTTTTAATGATTTTTCTTTTGGAAATTGCATGTAGTCGTGGCAACTCACTGCCTAGACTTCAGAAGTAACAAAATTATTTCTTGTAATTAACCATCTCTACAGTCAAGTACAACTTCAAACACGTTGTGATTGACGTTTTAGTGTCAAAACTGCCTGTGATCTACCACCCCCTCCTATGGTCATACCTTACTTTAAGCAAAAATATTGGTAAAATAACACGACACATGATGTTTGTTGTAAAAGCAACATACATTGAAAGTACAGACTACTTTAACATGTATTTTCCCTTCAAAATCTGAATATAATCATATTATATTACAAGTGAATTTACATGCTTTTCATGTATAATTTCCTTATAGGCCCACGAGATCGACCAAAAATAGGCCCCGCGATCGACGTATTGGACATGCCTGATCTATACTTATGAAAACAATTTCTTTGTATTCACTATGAGATGTGTTTGCCTGTGAATCTGAAGACGTGATAAATGTAGGTGGTCAGTAAGAAATCATCATGATAAACGACACCATGGATGTGAATTCATTTAAGGTTCAGAAGTGAGAAACTCCCTGTATTTGATGGAGTTGTAGCATTAGCTGAGACTAAATTGTGTGGCTAAACTTAGTAAACATTCACATTGTGTGATTTATACATTTTTTGTTCTTACAGGTGCAATTTGCATCATGGAGGGGCATAGATGTTTGACATTAAGAAGAATTATGCTGCTGAGAAGGGAGAACTTGTATATACTAGAAGTATAAGGACACCCTGAATATTTCTGTTATGCTTTCAATGTAATCATGTATCATACCACTTTACTGTCATCTGAGGTAGTTATTTAAGAGTTCTCATATGTTCATCAATGTGAGCAGAGCACATTATAATAAAATTGCAATGATAAATCCACGTGTAGACCTATGTATAAAAACACTGCACTAGAAAATACATGGACAATATTTGAAAACTGCCAGGGCTTGTCATTTGCATGTTATCTGGGTTCCTACCATTTCTGCTTAGCTACAGTGATAATGTCATAGGATGAAGATTACTGGTCCCCATGAAGAACAGATCTCTCAGAATTAATACTATCAAGGAGAAACACAGGACACATAATCTCCTTTCCTGGCAGGCACACAAACACCAGTGTAAAGATGTTGGAGTGTTCTAGTATCTGTTGTTTTGTGCCCAGTTCCCACTCAATTGAAACTAAGTCTTCTCTGCAAAATTGTCACCTCAGGATCAAGTCTGGCAGTGTGAAGCTGAGCAGCTCCTCCTCTCTTCATCCTGAGTTTCCAGGAGGGGGATCTCTGCCGTTGTCCCTGTTTCATTCCTTGTGTTCGAAATCCCCCCCGAGTAGACTGGGGTGTCCAAGCTAGCAGTGATTCAGAGAAAGGCTCTTTCTCAATGCTGAGTATTTAACAGCAATAAGAACAACAATAACACAAAATTAAATAACAGTAACTAAACACGCTTATCAACAATTCCAATATTATAGTGCACTTTTGCGCTCGGCTGCTTGTAGAGTACAAAATAAATCACAAATAAAAGTACAATGAGAGTATGCAGTTGATAGAACTTGGAGCATTGGACAACCTCTCCACTAGAAATACCTGACTACCTTCATGACTGCTAGTAACCCACTGAGAGAGGTCTTCACTCCGCGTATCCAGACCATCCAGACCAAGCTGGCAGATCATGTGATAAACCAGAATACAGAACATGCAACATAAGAAAGGGGGGGGATATGGAAGGTGTGCACCCGGCCATCCAACAGTACCAAAACAGCTACATCGAGCCATACCTAAACATTGCTCAAAGCGACTGAAGGTACCAGTTATAGAAGTTGCAGGATTGTTTGGCTGCAAAGTGTGTACATCTGTGGATTTGTAAAGCTAAGGTTTCAGTAACCATGCTGGTTGCGTGTGAAACACTGTTACAGAACCAAAAGCAAACACCAAGCAATGTTATTTCACTTTAATTCTTGTGTAGGAGTCCTAGGCAACACAGTGAATTGATGGATGAAAAATTTTAGGTATGTATACTGTAATATGATATCAGATTCAACTATGCCCTTTTGTAGGCGGTGTCAAATACATCCACCGTGGCCCTCTGAGTTGTAGGAGGTGACAAAATGGGGAACCCAGTGCCTGGGGATATAGCTGGGCCATCCTGTTCCTAAGGGATATAAATATGGGGACCTGGCCATACAGGTTGGGGGAGTCTCGAATGTGAGGCAGTAAAATAAGGTCCTGAGACCCGAAAATGACTGTGCTGATGAGGGCCAGCAGCAGTTGTAAATCACAGACCCATCCTCTCGTTAGAGAGGTTGTTATGTAAAGGCTATAACCACAAGTGTTCAGTTGAAAATAAAATATTGATTGTGAGTCTCAAAGGGCTTGGCACCAAGAAGAACTGATTGGTGGTAATCTGCCAGTTGTAAAATGACTCTGATTCTGAGATTTAACTATCTTCCACCATAATAGTTCATGTAAGAAGAAGGATGATGGACAGCTAAAACTGCAAACAGCTCTGAAGCAACATTCGTTTCTAGGCAACAAACATTGGAACAACATTCATTGTCAGGCAGCAGATTCTTAATAAGCAACAGCTGAACAGTAACAGAGGAACAGCGTTTTTTGTTCTGTGTCTAGATTTTATAATGGTGACTATTTGAAAGAATGAGTTCAATGCTGAATTTAAAGTCAGACTGAAGGGAAGACTAGGAGGTTGGTATGAAATGGCCACCAGCCTGGGAGTGAGTCAGTTGAGTCAAACTATGAAAAGAAGACTTTATGTATGCTGTAGTTACATTGATATTTGGAGTGTGTAATTCAGTGAGACTGTTATAGTTGTAGTTATAATCTGTAAATGGTCAATATATATGATATCCAATCCAAAACTCCATCAAGAGTCACTCATACATGTGACAGTATGTTTGAGACAAAGCATTGCTTCAAACTCTTGTGTGCTAGACATCTAATAGTGATAATAGTGAATGTAATATTTGAAGGAGCATGTAATATTTCCTAACTACATTGATCACTGTGAATGCAGTCTTGATGAAACACTGGCTTCTGTTCTTAGTTAACTATTACATTTCAAACTAAAATTGACCTGATGTTATGCAGAACCTGCATTGATTAATTACTTACAGATATGGAAGGTGACTGTGAGTATACTGAATTTTTCATAAGCAGTTGTGGACGAACAAAAAGGGACAAAACTGACAATTTGGTAGGATTCCTAGGATGGAAAGGGCTTAAATATTTGACTGAACTATGAAAATTCATTAAAAATCATATTTAATTTATTTTATTAAAGTTCATAAATGTGTTCTCATGGATGTATGGCTAGGCTGTATGTATCCCATAGTGATACGGTTGTTTGCAATGTTCTGTAAAATACTTTAATACAAATGCATTCCTTTTTTCATACATGCAAAATGACAAGGTTTAAATACAGTAAATATTTTTAATTTTTTCTTTCAAAGAACAGAGTTGTAAAAAATCAACATATTCTTCCATATGAAAGACAGCAATATATTTTTTACAACCCTGTTTTATGATGCTGAAGATAGTTAAATGTGAGCACAAACCTACATGTTCCTGGTCTGCTTTAAAACATATTTTAGGGCACATCATATGCTGATTAGGCAACTTTGCAGAAGAAAAGCCCTATGTGTTTAATGAGATCTCCTGTATGGAAAATTTTATTTCCACCTCATGTTGAAGACAGAAAATAATTTTATCATGACGATGTAAAGACATACACCATTGTCACTTGTTGATGCACCCTCAAAGATGTTATAGATGATGTGTAAATATTTGGACAGAATAACATTCTGCTGAATGAATGTTTATTTAATTTTATTTAATCAATTAATTTAGTTCCATGGTTTAGTCATTCTTGATTTTCTAATGAAGCCTTTTCAATTGCAAGCTTTATAGGACATACTTTGACAGGATGATGAATTAAAAAAGTGACAGTTGACTATTGTGTTGGTCAGAGATTTCATTTTTTACTACATGCAGACAACTACATGTCTTTTTACAGTGTATGCAATGTGTAGTATTCTTTTTGACAACATTTGTATGTTGGTGCCTCTGTCAGTGGGGAACAATACCTTTCCTTAAAATGAAAGTCAGAACCGCCTTTGAAGTTTAACAATCATTATCACTGTTACTCTACCAAAAACAAAAGGAACAGAATGAGTGATACCAACATAAATGTAAAGATGTTCTTTTGTTTAATTAATTAATTAAACACTGTGCTGTGAAAAGATAAGGGGGAGTGGAGTTGTAAGTTCAGCCTCACCACTAGATGGAGGTGACTGGTTAGCTCCACGCCCCAGCTGCTTTACTCATGGGGAAATCTACTCCAGTACCAATTGGCCATGAGGCTGTGTGGGCACCAGAGCCGGTCTGGACGCCGTGGAGGAGCGAAAAATGTTGCCCCTACCAGGCCCCTTGGCTTTCCATCCCATAGAGTGTGGTGATACCGACTGAGCCATTCCGGCTGGTGATACCAACATAAATAACGACAAATCTCAGTTATCTTAACAGTTACAGTCCACTCATTTTGTTTGATGTAACAAGTTTGTTAGGTAACTGTAAGAGCCAAGATGGTTACATGCACCATATAAAAAGGCGCTGAGCGAAACTGCTTGAAATCCAAAATGACAGATAACAAAGTCATTCATAGTTTATTTAATGACTCTAGTTGAAGGCGACGAAAAGGGAACCCGGTGCCTGGGGGTATAGCTGGGCGACCCTGTTACTGGTGGATATAAATACGAGGACCTGATCCTCCAGGTTGGAGGTTGGACTCGAGGCTCACAACCTTGCGAAATCCGAAGAAGTGAAAACCGGATGATCTGATTCCTTGGAATGAACAAATCTGGCAGAATGATGATACGTAGCTCAGTGTGTATAGGGTCGAATGGTGGGATGATAAATGAAGAGTAATTGCAATACTACGCGGATACAAGCGGTCGCTCTCTCATTTGAGGTACTATATCAGTATCTGGAGGAATGCACTTCGGAAAAATGACGAATCACCTAATTCAGGGTAGGTGATGTCCCGGCGGAAATTCAACACAGAAACTTAACGAATATAAGCCAAAAGCGATAGAAAATGAATCATAAGGTTACATCTTAGCCTCCTGTTGCACATTGTTTATTAATTAACAAATAAATCTGACATTCCTTGCATGCAACACCCTTTATATATGTTTAAAAGACTCATGGTGTGTATGTAAGGTATAAAGGTAAAGTTGCCCGGGTAAAAGGTAAAGCTATCCCTCTAAGAGCCGCGGAGGCCCATAGGCTTGTGACATGTCGAGGCTCCCACATTTTCTCCAGACAGTCGGCTAACAGATGGCGGTAAGGCTGTCACCCTTACAGGTTGGACGACCTTTATCCCACAGGAAGATTCCTGGTACTCATTTCTGGTAGAGGCTGAGTTGAACCTAGGGCCGTAGTGGGGCTGAAGGATTAGGTAAATTGAAAAAAAAATTCACCTCATCGGGAGTTGAACCCACGACCTTCCAGCTTGTAGCATAGTGCCTTAATCAACTATGTTACCGAATGCCCCATTACATACTAATTATATACTGTAAAATGTTTTGTTTTTTCACTTTCATTATTTTGAAAAAATTAAAGGAGGCTTATATGAGATCACCTTGCTGTCTGTGTAACCCCCTGTAATTTTTGTACAAAAGGAAAGTAGGCAATTAGTTCTTCCCCTACCTTCTTGTTTATGTGTTGGATTACAGTCAGAGTGGCCAGCAATCTCACAGAGGTAAGAAACCTGGAGTGGTTCAAAGATGGAGGCTGCAGCCGGTACAAGGTAAAGTTGTCCCTGTGCTTATCTAATTAAACTACACCATGAAGGAGTATGTGGAGGTGGATGTATAGATCCACACTTTCTTGAGCTCGGTCCTAGTTCGAGGTAAGTGTTCACTTTCAC